TGAGGAAAAAAATATTGTGCTGTAGTAGTTTCAGATAACGTGAATAGAGTTTAATAATTGAAAGGAGTTGGAAATTGATAAATGTGATAAAAATGGTACATGGTGGAAGCAAACAAATGGGAATACAATGTTTAGCAAACATTGTATTCCCACTTGTGTTTACTTCCACTATGTATCACTTTATCACACTTAGCGAACATTAAAACAAGAATGCATGATGTTTCTGTAGAGTATTTTTTTTACTTTATTTATGGATATATGTATATCCTCAGTAGCAGAAGAGAGAAGCTTGAAGGGGAAAAAAAAGCAGTGTGTGAAATTGGCATAGGGATATGATGGAAGCAGAGATGCTTTCCAATAATAGAAAAATATAAAGAAGCATATTGTATGCTATTGTACACATTTCCTTTTATCTTCTGGCTTTAATGGGGAAGGAGCTTTGGGGTTTATTGTCCTTGGTCTTTTTTGTGTTTTGCATAACATTTACTTTGATAGATAATAGTAAGTATATATGTATAAAGTCATCTATTTTTATTTGTGAACGAGACACAAGATTATTAACCTTAGCATAGAAGATGCACATTATATTACCTTGGCAGGAATCAGAACAAAAGATTGAACATTCAGTAATCTTCCATGATGATTTTAAGATATATCAATGATATATTGATGCCTGTAATTTAGAGGTTTAGGTTCCTTCCTTTGCCATTCACCTACTTTTTTCAGATTGTAGTAATAATACATCACCAAAATTAACATTAAGCTTTGTTAGTATAAAAGTACTGTGCTTCTCTTTATTTATATATTCTAACTATAGGGAGGCAGATAAATCTCTCACAAAACTATTACATAATTAATTTAAAACTGTGGGAATTTGTTCCTAATTCAAAGTGATTAATTTTGCTTCCAAAAAAAAATCATGTATGTTAGACCGGGATCATGCAGTGATTAAGACTATTAACTGACTGAATCTGTATAAATTCAGTGCTGCTTTATTGTGTTTACACAGTAAAGAAATAGTACCAAGTACTCACATAATATCTCATAAAACTCAAAAGGAAGCCTGTCAAAGAATTGCTGCAATTCCAAGTGTTGGACAATCCTCATTTGTTCTCAACTGGACAAGGAAAAAATGCCTGCTCTGAATAGAGCTTTATAATTCTGGAATTCTATCCGGCCCCTCAGAGAGACCAGTGTGCATAATTTTCTTTAGAATCCAATCTTTGGCTTAGTACATTTGTGCATATGTGTGTGTTTTTTCTGCTGCCATGGATATGCCATCCTCTTTTTCTGGCCAACAGTTGCTAAGTCATGAATGGATAGAATATTTCCTTTTCTCACACAGTGACCAGGATGTAAGCCAACAGCACAATCTAAAGACATAGTGTTCTCAGTCAAGACCTGTTGTAGATAGAAGTGGCACACAGCCATGCTCTCCTCAGAGCCTCAATCTTTACTAAATAACTAGCCTATTTTCTCAGAGAAAGAAAGGGAGGAAGTGAAAGGAGGGGGGCATATGGGAGAGGAGAATCTAAATTCTTAGTTTTCTTACTGTGGGGTATTGTTTTGTTCTTAATCCTGATCCGAAAGATGGAATACAGAACATTTAATAAGTATATGTGAATCTAAGAATCTGACCTTTAACTGGCATATTAGCATCCATCAAACTATTAAATATTATTGATTATAAATAACAGAATCAGAAAGGGGAGGATGATACGGCTTTTATCTGCTAGGGAAGCAAACAAATTTTTAAAAAGACATTTAAGGAATTATATACTTTTTTTAATAACCAATGTCACTCATCTTTTGTTTGAATGACTTCATATTCAAGGACAGATCGTTAATTCTGTTTAAGCTTTTGCCATTAAGTCTAAATACTTCTACATATATATCTCTAGTCTTCATTCTTCTCCAGGAAGGACCTTTTAAACAGCATTAAGCATTAAGGAAAGTATTATTAAACAAACAAGGAAATAAAGGAATGAATTATGTTTGCTTCTTTTTAAAAAACAAAATTAAATAGCTCAAGTTTTAATTTACCTGTATAAGCCTGATGATTTGACAAGCTGGAAAACTGATCACCATTTTGCTCAGCAGATAATATTTAATTTAAATGAGTTTATTTGCTGATGAATAAAACAATGTTTTTAGCAAGGAATACCATTTTCTTTTTCAATTGCTTTATATACTGGTAGTTGTTAGGGTTAGAACAGATATGCAGCTGGACCTAGGAGCTCAAGTTCCTGTAGGCTAAGAAATTATTTCTGAGCCTGATTTCATATATACAGTTATATGTTATATATTCATTTCAGATGCCGCAGAGTTTCTTTAAACTCTATCCTCCCACAACAAACTTCATGCTATCTCAAGAGATCTCATAATTCTGAAGAATGGCTCTTAATAGACTATAGGAGGCTACCATGGCAAACAAACAAAACATCAGAACTTCAGCTCCTGGCATATCATTGAATTCAAGTATTTGTTTGGCAGTGGAAATAGCCATCTGCACGGTATATCTACATCTGTAATTCTTTCCCACCTATCCTGTCAAGTGCCTGAGAAATCAGAAGATCCAGGGAGTTCAAATAAATATAAAGATTAATTATAAGCTTAAGATCATAAGAATCTGAACTACTAATGGTCAAGATAAATTGGTGGTAGATAAGAGTCAAAGGAATTCAGGTTGAGCTGGGTTTGTGGGCGCAAAGGGACTCTTGACTGATAACACGTTTGACCCTCCCCTCGGGCTTAGCCTGGTCATCTCCTACATATGCATACCTCAAACACTAACTGGAATGAAATATATTTGGGCAAAAATGTGATACTTTTAGTATTATTCTAGACAGTTTTAAAGTTAAATGTTGAATCAGTATGCATGAGGTGGGGTATAGATGATATCTGAAAATGGGTATAGAAGAACACTGAAAACGTGAATCTTTCATGAAATCATAGTTATTAACTTCTGTCAAATATAGTGGAATAATAAGTTCCATCAACAAGGAAAAGAAGTATGTAGCCTTTGGCACTGGTGTGAATAAAATTATCATTTAATTTACAAAAGGGTATAGCATGGAGATTCTGAATCAGCTTAGAGCAGTGTTTCTTAAAGTGTGGTTCTAGGGCCCCTAGGGTTGCCCCAAGACACTCCCAGGGATCTTCAAAATCAAAATAATTTGCCAGCCTATGTTGAAAAATAATACAATATTAAAATCACATCAAACAGTTGTGAGCAGGTAACAGCAACAATGTGCCAATTTTAATATTTAATATACTAAATATCAATAAATATAGTAAACAAAAGCTCTTTTGAGGTCCTCTATCATTTTTAAAAGTGGAAAGAAGCCCTGAGGGAAAAGCCATTTAAAACACTAGCCTAGAGGTGAAGCTTTAGAAGAGATGTCTGGAGTTGCTGGGAAATGATTCACAATGAATCTGACTGTACATGGCAATAAAGATAGCCAAGTATTTATATTTCTTCACCTTTACTGCATTCACTGATAGTCATCAAGCATTTATCCCTATTAGGCAGGAAAAGGCCACAGGACTATCTCTAGGTCTGCTGTAAGGAATATTTTGACTATTTGGCAAATAAAGTTCCACAGATCTGCACCAAGTTGGATTCTCATTGGGCAGGTTTGACCAAGATGCCAAGGACTCAGTCTGGTGGTGTGACCTGGGATGAGTTTGAGTTGGTGACTCTTAAGTAGAAAGGGTTCTCGACAATGATAGTGTGGCCACTTATTTATCAGACCCAAATCCTTCTAAATCACTAAGGTGGCCGGTGTGTGTGTATGTCCTCTCATTGGTAGTACTTTCTGCCTTGAAGGAATCAGGGGTATACCACTTTCTCAAGAGATTGTCCTTGGATTCAACTATGTCAGACAACTATTGTCCTGTCTCCAACCTTTCCTTTTTTATGGAATGTTATTGAGAAGGTGGTTGGGCTATAGCTGCACAAAACCTGTGAGAAAGTAGAGTATCTTGAACCATTTAAGTTGGGGTTCAGGCCAGGATCCAGTGCAAAGACAGCCTTCATTGCCCTAGTTGATGACCTGTGGTGAAGCATGGTGGTGCATACATCCATATACTCCTGTCTCTGCAACTTTTAATGCTACTAACCATGGCAATCTTTGGAATTGGTTCTGGAAATTGAGAATTGAGACTGACTCTAATTGGTATTGGCTGGGGAAAGGGATAGGTTATTTCTTAGGCCCTTCCTTTGGGGGGGGGGGGGGGGCCATAAAGTTTTTTGCTTTTGCCCCACTTGTTTAATATCTACATGAAACCACTGTGTGAGATCATCCAGTTTGGACTACAGTATCATCAGTATACTGATGATACCCAGTTATATTTTTTGACCTCAGTCTGGCTAAGTCCTATCTATATTATCATATGTTTTTTGTCAATATTCCATTTCCTTGTATAATTTTTTTTCTGATCTTAATAGAATTGTCTCATTGACTGAATAGATATCCTAGTGCTTAGTTGGACAGTTAATTTTCCATTCACACATTATAAGCTGTGCACTAATGAACTAGAAATTAATAAACTATGAATGAATAAATTGTGGATTACTTGTGTTACTGAAAGTATTACAAAATTCAAATTGCATGGCTCTCCAGAGAACCTGATATGGATATTAATATTTTTTTAAAAAAAGTAGTTCTCATTTAGTTTGGGAATCTGAAAAGCTATTTCTCTTTTCACTATATGCACACTGAAAGAACTTGATGATGAGTAGTTTCAGGAGATGGATATTGGTATAGTATAGCTTGAACTCTTTGCTTTTGGATAAATTATAGTAATGAGATAATGTCGCTTTTTATAACACCGACAATTTATTTATTAAACACATTTTTATGCCACGAAATCAAAACAGAGAGATTTATATGGAAAGCATGTTGTACTAGTATCAGTTTTGTGGGGTTAGAGTGGGGGCTCCTTGGCAGCAAGACAAGATAAATAAGAATTCAATTACATTCTTCTTCCTGCAATATATTTTTCATATCTGATTGCTTTATTCTTGTGGCTTCTGTTCAATAAATATACATGTTAAATGTATTCATGTATTAAATGTATATAAAATATTTAACCCTGCTTTCTAATCAAACTTTAATAGAATTAATAGAATAACAGAGTTGGAAGGGACCTTGGAGGTCTTCTAGTCCAACCCCCTGCTTCTATTACTCCTGCTCCTCCCCTTCCCCTCATAACAACAACAACAGCTGCCCCATAATACCCTGGATTTAACAATTGGCGATAAGAAAGACAAAAAAGTCTGGATAGTGGATGTGGCTGTGCCTGGAGATAGCAGAATAGAAGAGAAAGAACTGGAGAAGTTCACAAAATACAAAGGCCTACAAATAGAAATAGAATGTCTGTGGTAAAGGCAAGCAAGGATAGTACCAATAGTAATAGGTGCCTTGGGTGCAATTCCAAAACAATTGGAGCATCATTTGAACACCATTGGCACTGACAAATTCGACATCAGTTAATTTAATGAACCCACAATGATCCATTCAAAACTAAGACAGTGTACTGTGACGTTTAAGATGCTGGACTAGAATTAGGGAGACCCAGTTTCAAATCCACTGCCAGACATCAATTCCAGAGTGGTGATTGTGAGTTAAAATTGGTATAGTCGCATGTGTTTTACTTTGAGCATCTAGAACAGGGGTGTCAAACACAAGGCCCGTGGGCCAAATCCGGCCCGCCAGACCTCGTCTGATGGCCCGCGGTGCCGCCGCCAGCCTTGCAGCCTCCCCCTTTTTTTTTTCAATGAATTTACTCCGTGCCTGCACGGAGTAAATTCATTTTAAAAATGGCTCAAGTTAAAAAAAAAAAAATAATTTACTTACCTTCCGGGACCTGGCCCGACTTCTTCCTGCCCCGCACTGCTTCCTGGGTGTCGGACGTGACATCATCACGTGACGTCCGCCCGACATCTCCAGGGATCAGAGGAGCGCGCGGACGCCGCGGAGAGGAGCAAGAAGAAAGAAGTAAAAGAAAGAAAGAAGTAAAAGGTAAGTAAAGTAAATGGAGGGGGCAGATGGCTGGGCACTATAAAAGGGGGCAGATGGCTGGGCACTATAAAAGGGGGCAGATGGCTGGGCACTTTAAAAGGGGGCACATGGCTGGGCACTTTAAAAGGGGGCACATGGCAAAAAACAGTAATAATTGAATGCAGTGACATTAATTTATGATAATAAAGAGTGGACACATAGACCTACAGATACAACCGGCCCTTTGATGGGGACCAAACTGCTGATGCGGCCCCCGATGAATTTGAGTTTGACACCCCTGATCTAGAAGGATAGATAAATAACACATTGACTGGACAGTTAAGAATTACATTTCAACCTTTTGTTCTCCTCTCCTCGGCTATATACCCAGTTCTCAACAATTGAAATACATTCCACCAATTTGATCAAGAAATACAACTGTCTGAATCATTCTGAAATGAGAACATGACATGTTGGCCTTATGTCCTCAAAATGGTGAAATTGTCTGCAAACCAAACCACACTTATTTTGAGTTCTAATATGGAATCTAATCCTGAAGACAAATATGATTGGACCAGAGGGTGGAACAAATAGATGTAAAAATCCATGTAATCACTGGAATGATGGCATAACTTCCTCAATTTATTACATTGATCTACTTCCCAGGACTGGCTTCCATGGCAGGATAACTATGTTAATTTGCTGATAATGAGGAGAGGAAAAAGATTACACATTTCAAAACTGTATGTCCCAAGTAAGGAGGGATGGTATTTTGCTTTTTGAATCGTCCACATCCTTGCAAAAACCATACTGCTCTAAGCTATGTTGTGGCACCAGCTGATTGTATGCAGGGTCTGGGGAAATAAAATAAATGGAAATACGAAAGGGGACTTTTCTCACTTTCTGGAAGAGATGAAAAAGCAATGCTTTCAAACCATTTTACCTTTTTTTTTTGTTGCTGTTGTTAACTGGAGCAGCATCTGAAACGATATAGTCTGTATGCACCTAAGAATTACATTTCTCCCTGAATAAAATGTCAATTTCCATATGCAATGCAATGCATATTTACATACATTTACATGTATTATTGTAGTTTTAAACACAACCGTGGAAAGCTTTGTCAAAGCAGTTAAACACTGAAAAACATTGGTCAATACAAATGGAGCACATTACATGAAATACTGGCCATATTATCAGAACTATTCATATGCATAAGCACTGGGTAATGCATGATGGCATTTACAGATACTCTGAATTCTTCACCCTGTGAACATCTTCAGAGCTCTGCTTTAGGCTAGGCCAGACAAGTTTCATTAAATATGACAAGTAACTATGATAATTATATTTAATTTGATTTAATTAAAAGGACAGCAAATTTAATCACAATCTTGCATATTTGGGGAAGGTTTCTCCAAGTATGCCATTCAAAAACTGAATGTGGTCCTCAGCCCCAGTAAAGTAGTACATTATTAATGTAGGGCCATTAGAAAGGTAGAATATTGAGGGGGGGGGGGAGACTCCAAGAATTAGAATAAACATCAAGACCATGATTTTAGAGTCAAATTCCAGAGGAAATCTACAATGCAATGAAAATTCCAAAAGGCTGGTGACTTCCCAGTCACAATTCCCATTTCTTCCAACCATCATGGTGCTGTGCTGATTGGAAATAGGGAAGGCTGAACACCCCCAGGCAGCTTCTACATGGTTGCCTGGTGTTGAGGTAATTCCCCGTTAGGAGAATGAGCACATACAGGGAGACGTAGTGAGAGTAGTGAAGAATAATACACAAACAGCACACAGATACACTGTACAGTAAATGTAAGTTTTTACTTCCAATAAACATTTAAGCACAGTCCAAGATAAGCAGTCCAAGTCATTCACAGGTAAAGCAGTCAGTTTTTAGTTCAGGGATAATCCAGATATCAAAATCCAGTATCAAAAAACAGTTCAGTAACAGACTTACATCAACGATCATTAACAGTCATTAGGAAGAAGGGCAACACTCTCCAACAGAAGAAAACAGAGACTCACTCACTTCACTGAGACTCTCTTCTGAGACTAAACAACCCAGGTTTCTGGCTCCATCTTATGGCCATTTGCGGAACCACACCCAATTACAGATTTAGTATTCTCTTAAAGGCATAATATTAAAATGTCTATCCTAGTTTATATATTTCCAACCCAAATAACTGTTAGGTGACTTATATTCCTAACACCTGGTTTCAAACATTTAATAATTAATCAGGCGAGCCGGTGGAATATTAAAATAAGGTATACTGGATTGTTTGTTATTTTAGCCAAGATCTGCAAAATATCAATTCATTTATTTTTATTTGGAAGCATGGTTTCTATCCATCCTGTGAAACTTATTTTCTGCCTGATATTTAGGGGCCTTCAATGCTCTTATCACCTCATTTAAAAGTCTTTCTTTTCTCTTACAGTCTCTAACCAGTGGTGGGATTCTACCAATTTGGCTGAACCGGTAGTTCTGGCAAGCATTTGGTCCTGCCCACCAGTCTCTGCTCTTTCCTTTGCTTTATTTCCTGGGTTTTTAGCACATCTGATTCACATGGCAGAGTAGTTTGCCACGCATCAGCTGTTTTAGTCACCAGGGATGCAGCAAAAAGTAAGTAATTGAGTTGAAAATGGGCATTCTAAAATGTTGTTACACCAGTTGAATTGCACCACTGCTCTGAACCCACAACCGTAGGGGTGGGATTCAACCGGTGTTACTACTGGTTCAGTGACTATGTTTTGCTGCATGCGTGTGTAGACTGTGCCGCCCGGACAGGTGAAAAGTGCTGCGTGCAGGTGCGCAGCATTTGAAAAGCCTCTATTTCCTTGCTTTTTCAACCTCAGCTATGCCACGCAAAGCAGCTGAGGTTGAAAAAGCAGGAAATAGAGGACAGGTAAGAGCCCGGGCGGGCAGGTGGGCCAAACAGCAGCAAACACAGAACCGGTTTGGTGTCTGTTGCTTGCTCTTCAGAGCTACTGGCTCCATAGAACTGGGCAGAACCAGTAGCATCCCATCCCTGCACAACCCTCCTTCACCTGCTCAGTTCCAATTATACCGAATATTTTCCTCTGACCTCTTAGCCTATGGAATGACAGTGGGAATTGTCTTTTTGTTTTTCATTATAGATTTTCTTCCCTTGAATATATCTTTCATATAGTCTAACAATGTCTAGTGTTTATCTGTTCAACTTCCGCTGACTTTGGTTGAATCTTCTCCTCTCAGAACTTTGTTGAAGAGAGACACTATCCAAGTGGTCAGTGATTGGGATTGGAGAAAGAGTCTTATCTGTGAGATTCTGGAGGTTAGAGAAGTATTACAGCTAGCAGTTTATCAGGATGATCTCAGAAACACAAGGACTTCAATGTGATATACTTAAAGCATCCAAAGCTTTTCCAAAAATGCTTTAGACTTGTTTAATGTAGAAAGAAGAAATTGTATAAAAGTAAATGAAAGCGCAATATTAATCTAACTAATCTGAACGAGCATAATTGGAAATGCCTCATTAAGCATCATGAGTAATGAAGCATTACTTTCGCCTCGCATCCTCCTGAAAGGATTCAATCCTCTACAAATATCTTTACATTTTATTATAGGCATTATTGGCAGAATTATTCTAGAGAACTGGAGCCGAATGAAGTCAGAATTATTCTTACAAAAGGTAACTCTGATCAAACATTTAACGTAAACAAAGCAGAGACACCACAGTTTCTCTGTCACCAAGAGTTGATTAGCCTAATCAGCTTTCCCCAGTGTGAGAGTACAGGACACTGGCCATTGTTTCTGCTTGGGGGATGAAATAACAGAATAACAGAGTTGGAACTCTTGAAGGTCTTCTAGTCCAACCCCTGCTGAAGTAGGTGCCCTATTCCATTTCGGGTTGTCCAATCTCTTCTTGAAAATCTCCAGTGAAGGAGTATCCACAACTCTGGGAGGCAAGCTATTCATTGTTTAATTGTTCTCATTATCAGAAAACGTTTCCTTACTTCCAGGTTGGAGTTTCTATCTGCTATTTTCTTGTCCTGCCTTCCAGTGCTTTGGAGAACAGGTTGACCCCTCTTCTCTCACTACAATGTCACCTCAGCTCTTCTCTTTGTTAGAGTAGACATACCCAATTCTCACAATTGTTCATCATACAAATTTATTCTCAAGTCCCCTAATCAACCAGTCCCCTAATCATTACATCATCTCCTAGACTGAGCCACCTGGAAGGCAGGCATCATCTTTTATTTATTTATTTATTTATTGCTATTTATATGATTTGTGCAAACTCAAGCAATGATCCTGAGCTTAACTGCTGCGATTCATTACTATAGACAAACATCTCCACACTCCACTGACTACTGTAAATGGTGGTAAGAATAAACTCTTTCCTAGGGTCATTGCCTTTCAAGGCAATGTTTTTTTGAACCTGTTTTTACAGGTTCATCAGTGGAATGGTAAGGAGGTGGACTTAAAAAACAACAACAACCTTCATTGATGTACATGGTGGCAATACCCAATCTTACCCTGCTTCTCTCTCTTACAGATGTATGGACCAGTCCTTGTATTTTGTTTGTTTACTTGTTTGTTTAATCAGTGAAATTGGCAATAGTTTCCCCCCTTTCCCCTTCTTGTATTTTCTTTCTCTTTTAATCAATTCAGAAAGGGGAATAGAATTGGTGAATCATCTATCAGAGACCATAGTAAACATGGTTTAAATATTTTTTTAAGTGGGATGGAACACAGGAATCAAGCAGTTTAAGGTTGCAGTGCAGAAGATATCTACAATCATTGTATAGCTCGCTATGTCCAACATGTAGAATAGATGAAGTTTCATTCTTTCATTGGAAGCATTATTTTTACCATCTACAGATAGTCTTTCACTTACAACAGTTCATTTTGTGACCATTCAAAGTTACAACGGCACTGAAAAATGTGACTTATGACTGTTTTTCACACTTACGACCTTCGCAGCATCCCTAGGATCATGTGATCAAAATTAAGATGGTTGGCAACTGGTTCATATTTATGATTGCTGCTGTGTCCCAAAGTCATGTGAACACCTTTTGTGACCTTCTCACAAGCAAAGTCAATGGGGAAGCCAGATTCACTTAACAACTGGACTGCTAATTTATCAATTGCAATTATTCACTTAACAACTATGGCAAGAAAGGTCGTAAAATGGGGCACACATCACTTAACAAATGTCTCACTTAACAACATAAAGTTTGGACTTAATTGTGGTAGGAAGTTGAGGACTACCTGTATGTGTGAACACACAACATTAAAGAAAATTCTGGGTTGTTGTTTTTTAAATGCACTCTATTATAATACACATAATTTTTTGGGACCCATATGGTCACATTTTATGACTTATAATCAAACAAATTCAGCAGAGATATTCAGAATTTCATTTCCATATCGAGATAAACCTACAGCTAAATAGAAGAACCCAGATTTTTGGAGTAGTAAGAAAACATTTTGAAACTATGGACAGAAGACCAGCCAAGTTCATTAACATTGTAATTTTGGGATAGAAAGATTTATAGGACAAAAGTACCACATTTGCCATGATCTGTTGCAGTATCTATTGCTTATTTTGGCCAGTCTGACAGGATAAATTCTGATTTTCATGGATTAGTTTAAAAACAATGAGAGCTCCTTAGATATGCAGGTTCTCAGTTTTCCTATTTAATAACAATCTTAACAATGATTTCATTCAGCAGCTGCCAATTTTCTTACCCTATCCATTTGAAAGCAACACAATAGCAAGTGGAAGGTAAAGCTGGATATAAATTTAGATTTATTCAGCTCTTTTAAAACCTGGGAGTCTCTCCTAATACAGCTTTTTCCATTCTGCTTCCAAATAAAATTCCTTTTCAGCCCAAGAGCTTTGTCTATCCCGGTAACAATTTGGCAGTTATTTTAGAGGCACAGAGGATTTGTGGTTGTTTGTCTACATGTTGATGAGCTTCCTAAGCCATTATAGTTAAACTATTTACTTATTCCAAAATATTGATGCTGCCTTTAAAAACTTAAATAACAACAACAACATTTTCTGAAGGCAAGATAGATGATAGATGATAGACAGACAAAAACAGACAGACAAATAGACACATACATACATAGATGTATTCATTAAAGTATATATATTTATCCAAATCAAGTGTATTAAATGTAAAATATAAAATATGGACTATCATCAATTAAAAGTAGAATTAAACCTTTAAAAATAATCTATTCGGATAGTTTTCAAGGATGGCATCATCACAAATAGTTCCTATTAGTAGGCAAGCAAACAAGGGTTTTATGGCTAAAGAAAGTTCATGTGGGTATAAGGAGTCTTTCAAACAATTTAGCCTCACATTTTAAGTTAGTTAAAAACATCACCAGCAGTTTAATTTGGGCTCCAAAATGCATTGGCAGAGAACTGATATTATATGCCTCAACCTCTTGGCCTTCCAAGCAACTGTGCAATGGCATTTTATACGAATGCTGCTTCCAACACAGAATATATTGTGGTAATCTGGTATGGATATGAATGGGGCCTATTTGATCTGCAGAGAAATACATCTGGCAACTCAGCTGAAGTTCATTAAAAGCATCCTTAATAAACAATGGCACCTGCACATCCAGAGGTGCTGCCAAAATTCTAGAGAACTCTCAAATGGTACAGCTGGTATTTCACAAAGAGCATAGCTCCATCCAAACCATTCTCATATCTTCATCCAGAGCAACAGATTGCTGTAACCATAGCACTCAAGCTTCTTTCATATCTACAGTACAGCCAAAGGAAAATTTACAAACACACAGATGCACTTCTGGGCATGACAGGGAGAAATCACTACACAAAGAGACCAATTACTCATTACATGTGCCTCCTAATTACATATTTAATACAAACCACGAAGGCAACTGTCTAAATTAACCGAGCTAAAGGCCTCTGCACAACAATAATGAACTCTAAGAATCCTTGTTGTGACTCTTAGGGAGAAGAAGAAAGAAGTCTTAAAAAGAAAGGCAACACCTATTCCGTTCTGCCTAAATAGTTCCCCAAATAGTTTATAATGATACTGAAGGAAAGACAACTTATTCGAAGTGATAATTGGAAATTGAGGAAGTAAGGAATTAATCGGACCCTCTTTCTCCAAATGCCAAAGCACTGCCCCCCCGCCCCCCAACACACATACAACAAGCAAAGCATCTCTAGTAAATTATAATATTTTTATTTATTTACAAGGAGAGTTTGGCCTTTAAGTGTGCAGTCTGTACGGACTTCATTTCTAATGGTAGACGTATCTTCAAATTCAATTTAAATTCAACTCCCATGCCATGCTATAGGATGGGATTTATAGTAACTACAAGGAGTCTACCTAAGCAATAGGTGAGGTATGTGCTAACTCCCTGATTTCTAGTTGGCATATTTGTAATAAACAATCATTCTTCTGCAAATAAATACCCACAGTAAGTATCAATCATGGCATTTTTCCTTCTTAGGACAGGTATCTCTGGGTTAGGGGTAGCAGTATCCATGCTTCTGGCTCAAAAAAACTTGAGGATGACAATGATAAACCTTCCCCATTACAGTTCTATAATGATCATCTTATGGTCTCAGAAATTCTGCCATGGAATCTAATTGAGACATATTTTGTCATTAAATGAAAAGGGAAGATAAGCATTTTAAAGGCCTCTTTTATAGGGAAATGTTTTAAACATTATCTCGCTATGAATCTTGGGTTCAGAGAATCTGAGTTGCTGAACTAACTAGCAGACATTATGGCAATTATAATGTGTTTGAATTTCAGAAGAATATCACATTCTAAAAATGTGTTTAAAATGCTGGGATTTTAACACGCTTATTCTACATTAATTATAGCAAATTCCAGATTAGATTTTTCCCTTAATGGAATAAGACTATAACAAGTCAACTTTTCACTTAGTGCTAAACTTCTTGGTAATTTTTATATCCATTCACAAAGCACAAAAAGTCACTCCTATAGTAGTTCAGAAAGGATTTAAACAAAATTTGTATATTATGATAAATGGATATTGGATATTATCCCCATCTGCAATTTAAGGGAAAGAAATAGCCTGACTTTTCTAATCTACCTGCCCAATGAACCCTTCCAAAATGATTCTCTTCCACTCCTCATATAAGAGAAATTATTAAGAACAAAATAGAATTATAATCAGGTAGCATATGAAGCAGAATACACTGAACAAATAATATGTTCATAAATGTACAAGGGTAGAAAAAGGAACCACATATAACTATCTAGTTCAAGTGTTGTAACAGTGCTGAGAAACTCAAATATGATTAGATACCAATGAAAACTCACTATTTACGTATTTTTCCTTTAACACACACCTTAGTAATTTTCTCCATTGCTGCCAAGTATTAATTGAAAAAGTTATCTGTATCTATATAGTTGTGAAAATATTAGTATCGCATAATCCTTCCTAGTTAAAGGTCTTTCCTGGACCGCTGAGGGAAAGCTCTGGAGTTCTAATTTCCTACAAAAGTCCCGAAAGGTTACTGCTGAACACAGTAATTAGATGGTTGTAATAGAAGATGTTTGCAGGGGACAAAGGATTTGTACAAAATAGCATGGCATTTTCATGGCTATTTACTGTGCAAAATAGCATAACTTAATGAAATTTGGTGGAGCTCTAGAATGAAGATTGGGAACTAAATAAATTAACAGTGTGAAGAAATGAAACATTAAGAAAAGGCAGAGAAAACTTGGTGTTGTTTCTTACTGGGTAATAATTGACAAGCATTTTGCTCGGCAATGATTGAATAAAAATTGATTGATGACAAGCATAAATTTCAGGGTGTATTTAGAGTCAGAAATGCTTGAGTTGTTCTCCTTCCTAATCAACACTTCTGGGGGCCAGAGTTTAGTTATCTGTTAGTTTTTGTAACTGGGTTTTTTTCTCATATATTTATCAGATATTTGCAAGTTCACTCAAATCTATGGTATTCCACCCTTACTACAGTGATGCCTCTAAATGCACATAAATGGATATTCCATTTGCATATTCACTTGAACAGATCTGTGCAGGACCGGAATGAAGTTATACGTCACATAAAGCAAAACCAGAATAGTCTCAACTCTTTGAGCCAACTATGACCTTGATGACTGAGACAAAACCAGAAGAGATTTACTGATACTCTATTATTTATGGTACCAATAAGTACGCAGAATCCATGTTACATAAACATAGTTCCCTGATATCTCACACAGGTTATTTTTCCAGCCTGACCTCATGTCTAACATAGTAGCCAGAAAATATCTCACAGTGCATTTACCAATTTGTTTCCTTGATTCATCCCTTGAACAAAATGGCAGAAATCACAAATATGCTTTATGGCAAAATATGTAAAAGTGCTTTTATTATTAAAACCAGATACCACACATAATAGATTGGTTTCAAACCTTGGAACAATTCCCCAGTTTGACATTTTCTTTATGTAACTGACTACATCTTAAAGTTATCTAAACTGTGGTTTTGAGTTGTGCTGTTAACTAATAATTGACAAGCATTTTGCTTGGCAATGATTGAATAAAAATTGATTGATGACAAGCATAAATTTCAGGGTGTATTTAGAGTCAGAAATGCTTGAGTTGTTCTCCTTCCTAATCAACACTTCTGTGGGCCAGAGTTTAGTTATCTGTTAGTTTTTGTAACTCTTATATTTGCAAGCAAATTTTTCTGGCCTTACATTTTTGAGAAAAATGTTTTTTTTAATGTGAATTTAAACATATTTTTAAACATAAATAAATAAATAAATTTCTGAGGAAAGAGAATAAAACAGACTTTAAAATGATGAATTGTAAAGATGAAATGTTAGAAAGGAATATAGGTCTATAGCTGTTTTCTTTTTGACAGGGAGTGCTTTTGGGATCATGTCTGTAAGTCTTCAAACTCATCTTGAAGTCAAGTTCCTGAAGTTTTCTTGGCAACACTTTCTGAAGTGGGTTGTCCTTGCTTCCTTCTTAGTGTTGAGAGAGAATAACTGGCCAAAAGCTGGCTTCGTGCCTAAGGCAGAACAAGAACCCATATACCAACTGACTCTTGTTTCTGAGATCAGGAGTACCATTTTCTCTTTTTTATTCAGTTCAAGGAGTAGCACATATTATTCTTTATTAATTCAGAACAGCTAAGCAAGGTCAATCCGGGTCCTTGGAGGGAAGACCTTTTGGAAATATAGCTCTATAGGTGGGATTAAGAAATGGCAAAAATGTCTAAGGGAAGGGAAGGCCAAATACTGTACTTCTATACTGTTGCCAAGAAAACTACATAGACCACGGGTGGGTTTCTACCGGTTCGCACTGGTTCTGTAGAACCGGTCGTTAACGTCACCGGTAGTTCTAAGAACCAGTAAAACCGCCCCCTGCTTGGCCCTGCCCCTCTCCGCCGCTCCTACGGGCCAAAAATCAGTTTTTATTACTGCGCACGCAAAAAAATCCCTTCCGCATTCTCCCCCACCTGCCCCATCTGCCACTCCAAAGTAAAAAAAACCCCATTTTTTATAAAAAAAA